GTGCTAGGAAACAATATATCTGATTTGTTCTGATAGTTTATAGTTATTAAGAAAATATCATGCCGAAACCGGTTTGGCCTGTGGACTGAGAGGTCCCAGGTTCGATTCCTGTCAAGGTCATGTACATTGGTTGTGGGCACATCCCCAGTAGGGGGTGTGCAGGAGGCAGCTGGTTGATGTTCCTCTCTCATCAATGTTTCTGGCTCTCTATCCCTCTCCTTCCCTCTCTGTAAAAAATCAATAAAATATATTTAAAAAAAGAAAGAAAGAAAAGAAAATATCCTATCTAATAAAGAGGGAATATGCTAATTGCCCATCACACCCTCACAAGATGGAAGCACCCACAGCCAATAAAGAGGGAATATGCTAATTGACTGCCTCACCCTCACAAGATGGCAGTGCTCAGTCCCCTCAGCCCTGCCTCATCCAGCCACAGTCCCCCAATCCCCTTAGCCCCGTCTCATCCAGCCTCAGTCCCCCAGTCCCCACAGCCCCATTTCATACGGCCTCAGTCCCCCAGTCCCCTTAGCCCTGCAGGGGAAGGCAATTGGGGATGATCATGCCAGCAGGGAGGCAGTTAGACATCAATCAGCCTGGCAGGGGAGTGGTTAGGGGGCTATCAGGCTGGCAGGCAAAGTGGTTAGGGGCATTCAGGCAGGCAGGCAGGTGAGTGGTTAGGAGCCAGCAGTCTTGGATTGTGAGAGGGATGTCTGACTAAACCAACAGTTAGACATCTCCCTAGAGGTCTCAGATTGGAGTTGGTGCAGGCTAGTCTGAGAGACACCAACACAACCCCCTCCTTCCTGTGTGAATTTTGTGCACTGGGTCTCTAGTTTTTAATAAAAGGCATATATTCTTTTCTTGTATGCCTGAACCCTACCTCAAAAATAACAGATTTAGCCGAAACCAGTTTGGCTCAGTGGATAGAGCGTCGGCCTACGGACTAAAAGATCCCAGGTTTGATTCCAGTCAAGGGCATGTACCTTGGTTGTGGGCACATCCCCAGTAGGAGGTGTGCAAGAGGCAGCTGATGGATGATTCTCTCTCATCGGTGTTTCTAACTCTCTATCCCTCTCAATTCCTCTCTGTAAAAATCAATAAAATATATTTAAAAAAAATAATATTTATTTTAGTATATAGATTATAAAAATAATTTCAATAAGTTCCTGAGATTTAATATAGACTTGATATTTCTTTTAATACATTAAAAGATAATGACATAAAAAGAAAATATTTTAAGCCTAGAATATTTATAACCTCTAAATAATTTGCAAACTTTTTAATTTGGGGCTTGTGATGATATAGCTATACAAATTTTCTTAGTTTATAGATTAAAAAGATAGAACTTTATTAAGAGTGGGTAAAACTTTATTGCCCTCTATGGTTATAGTTTTGCCTATTTATTTATTTTTATTTTTTGTTTTTTTTTCTTTATTTGAAGCTGTGTAGTGGTTCATAAAAATTTAGAGTTCTGGATTTACTCCTTTATCATTATTAAAAGTCTCTCTTTATCTCTTGTAATGCTTCTTCAAGCTGCTTGTTTGAAGTTAGTATAGCTATACCAGCTTTTTTTGGTTGGTGTTTGCCATGGTCTGTCTTTATATCATATTAATTTTATTTTAATGTGACCTTATATGTAAAATATATTTTATTTAAGCAACCTATTTTTAAAATTATGTCTTGCCCTAACCGGTTTGGTTCAGTGAATAGAGTGTCAGCCTGTGGACCAAAGATCCAAGGTTTGATTCCGGTCAAGGGCATATACCTTGGTTGTGGACACATACCCAGTAGGGGGTGTACAGGAGGCAGCTGATCTATGTTTCTATCTCATTGATGTTTCTAACTCTCTATCCCTCTCCCTTCCTCTTTGTAAAAAAAAAAAAAAAAAAAAAAAAATCAATAAAATATATATTTTAAAAATTTTGTCTTGGTTTTTTACTGGGAATATTTAGTTAATTTTCATTTAAGTAATTATTGCATACCTGGTTTTATTTTTGCCACTTTATCTTTTATTTTATCTACTTGTTTTAACTTTTTTGTCTCATTTCCTGCTTCTTAACTATTCAATTTTTAAAAATTATTTTAGTTTTTAGTAGTTTATTTACTCTTATTTTAGTGGTTGCTTTAGAATAGGGATTGGCAAACTATTTCTTACAGACTAAATCCAATTGCCCTCCTGTTTTATACATATAATTTTATTGAAACACAGCCACACCTATTTGCTTACATATCGTGTATCACTGCTTTGGCACTACAGGGGTATAATTGAGTAGTTGCACAGAGACACTACATACATATACGTGTGTGTGTGTGTGTGTGTGTGTGTGTGTGTGTGTGTGTGTGTGTGTGTGTGGTTTGTAAAGCCTAAAACATTTATTATCTGGCCTTTTATTGACTAAGTTCGCCAACTCCTTCTGAAGGGCAGTGATCCTTAAATTTGCTCATGCTTACATCAATATCACTAGGAGATCTTGTTAATATTGCTGGGCCCCTGTTTCCAGAGTTTCTGATTCAGAAGATTTGGGTTAGGGCCTAAGAATTTCATTTCTAATAGATTGCCAGGTAATGCTCAGCTACTGGTCCTGGACCACACTTGGAGTACCATTGCTCTAGAGGTTACAGTATACATATTTGAATTCATCCCAAACTAGCAGCAAACTCAAATGTCCATCAATAGTAGAATGGATATTAATAAATTGATGTACATTCATATACTAGAAAACTATAAATAATGAAATGAATCTTCCAAACATTATATTGAGTGAAAAGAAGCCAGGTACCAGGGTACCTATTATATATTCCTTTTATATCAAGTTCACAGATGGGTAAAACAAACTATGGTGTTCAAAGTCAAGACCAGTTTACTTGGGTAGGAACTGGTGAATTTAGGAGGTTCAGTGAGGGTGCTCACAGGATGCTGATAATGATCTATTCTGGAGACTGGTTACGTTGGAATGTTCATTTTGTGAAAATTCATTGAGTTGCATAGTTGTGATTTGTATATTTTTCTCGGCCTTATTTTGATAAGTTAAAAACTAATTTCTCAGTATTTGAGAATGTTAAGAGTTAAATTTTTTTAGAGACATTTACTCTTTTAAATTCTTGTGTGTTTGTAGGACAGAGCACTGTTTCCATGGGAACCTCTGGCTACTTTGTTTCAATACTCATCTTTCCTTAGATTTGTGTGTCTACCGCCTCTCTAAGCTACATTTTTTACATGGTGGGCAAAAATAAAGTTTATTTGGAATTGTATTAGTGTTTTTAACACAGCAGCCTACATAGAGCACAGGTTTTAAGTGATCCACACTGACTACCTTACAGTATTATGCTAAGAAAGAAAAATAATATTGTTTAACTAGAACAAGGGTGGGGAATCTTTTTTCTGCCAAGAGTCATTAGGATATTTATAACGTCATTCGCTTAATATAATTCACTTAATATAAATTTATGTTTCTATGAAAAAAGCTCCTAGAATTATTGAATTTTGAGTCCCACTTGTAGTTGCATGATCAGGGCCAGATCAAATTGATTGCAGGCCTTATATGGCCTGTGGGCTGGACCTTTCCTACTGAACTTGAAGGTACTTTTTTCCTACAAGTTGTGCTATTTAAGGAAAACACTTGCAGAAATGGAATATGGCTTTATATTACAGTGTCTGTTTGACGCTCTTGTTTTTAATTAAACAATTTTTAACGTGTATTTCCTTTAAATATATATATATTTAAGATTGTAGGGATGATTATTTCTCCTTGATTTGGGTATTTGCATAGGTAAGGGAAGCAGATTGAAAGGGAAAGAGTCTGGTGTATTGATCTGAAGCCTGTGGTAAAGCTGCCTCTTTGCCTCGCCCATCTTGTTTGTCCTGGTTGGATTGTGCAGGGTCCTAGAGAAAACCAACTTCTCCGACGAATAAAATGCATATATCTTGTGGGGGTGGGGTGGAAGTGGGGGTGTTTCATTTTACACACGGAGATGATATAGTGTGGTCATTCGTGAAGATTATAAAAGGATCTTTATAGAATATTTTTGAATCATTTATGAGAACAATTGTTCAGTTTGGTTTCTGTGACCTGAATAAACAGCAAATTGTTAGATTACAGAGTTCATTAGGTACACTAATGAGCACTGTGATATTCTATGGTTTAATGATGCAATAATAAGCACATCAGCAGAATGAATATTGCATAAAATCTTATTTTTCTATTTGTATAAATTTTCAAGTAAGCTAAATAAGAGATTACAGATTTAGGTTTATAAACCTGTAGTATTGAATGCCTTTGAAATTTTGATACAGAATAAGGATTGCAGCTGCAAAGAGATTTTTAAAATACATGGAGAATTTTTACCTTTCATTTGGCAGTAGCTGCCATAAGATGATGTCACCTTGTAGCTGATTGGCTGTTACAGTACCTAGTGCAAGGAAGAGAAAGAAAAATGCCGGCACAAACCTCAGTGGTGGTTCTGTGGTTGTTTCCATCTATTTTTGCTAGAATCTTTGATTAGTCTCAAATCTACTGCATTTGGCCATGTGAACCATTAGGAGCCTCCTAGGGTGAGGAAAATTAAGAGCTTTCAGAGGAATGAGGCGACTGATTTGCAAACGGATCTGTGATTGTAAGTGCAGAATCTGGGTGTAAGGACTAAGGCAGGGTGTGCTTGAAGATACACTATGGGAGGAGCTGGCAGGAAATGCTTATTAGTAGCAAAAAAAGGAAAACTGCCTTTTCTATATTTAGAGTTAATATATTTAGTTTTATGTTTTGACTTTATAGATATAGGTAGTAAATATGGTAATACTGTAACCTGATTTTAAATTACACTTGGTTATTTTATATAGTGTTAGCCATTATATAAATGCTTATTCAGAGGAGCTTTATTTTGCATTATATATCTCACAAAGTTCTGATTTTATATGTAGCTTTATTTGTTTTTTTGAGCCTTACGGAAAATGGAGCAAAGCTTAGATCTCTTAAGATACATTTTGCTAATGCTTTGTACAGATAAAAGCTTCGATGATGAAGAATCAGTGGATGGAAATAGGCCATCATCAGCTGCTTCAGCCTTCAAGGTTCCTGCACCTAAAACATCCGGAAATCCTGTCAACAGTGCAAGGAAGCCTGGTTCAGCAGGTGGCCCTAAAGTTGGAGGTAATGTAAATCCATTTCAAATCTGATGTGCCCTTGGTATGGCCACACATACTTAGAACTCCAGAGGAATATGTTTATTCATGACTGCAGCATGGTTGCAGATATGGAGTCTTTTGCAACACACAGAAGAATGTGCTGCCATTTCAAAATGTTTAAAATGTTGTATATTGTATGTGAATTAGTATTTTCCTGAACAAATTTATTTTTCAGATGCTATCTTTAAAGGGAGATATTTAAGGGAGTTTTTTTTTTTTTCTTTTTTATTTGTCTTGAGGAAGCATGTTTTTCAGAATTTGACTTAATTTTCAGGTGCTATAGTTGTTAGAGAAATACCTATATATTTGAGGTTTTTATGCTTTCATCAAGGTAATAAATTTTAAATTCTCCAACATTGGAAAAATGGTTGAAAATGCTGGGTATGGAATCATTTGTCACAAAAGGAAATGGGTGGTGGTCAAGTAAAATTTCCTCAAAAATTGTTTCTGAATTAGATAATAATAAATAGTAAAAACAGATTTTATGCAGTTGTGGTGCACATGTACATTATTTGATTATATTAGAACTGTTTCTAGCATATTTTTTATTTCAATTTTTTTTAATGTGTATATTTTTCATATACTTATTACAAAGCTCTGAGTACTTTTCAGGTGCTAATTTCTGCCATGTTTTTCTGATAGGATGAATCCTATACAAATAAGGGTAAATGTTTAATACCGACAGTTTCTTTTTTATCTCCTTATTTTTGTTAATAAATTTGTGTTCAAATTTTAGAAAGAGATTTTTAAAAAATTAATGATAACTTGTGGGGAAATCATAGTGTTTAGGATTCCCCTTCCCTCTTTTTGTCTATCATTTATTTATTAAAAACAAAAAGGAAAACTGTGTATTTTTACTGATTTTATGAATTGTATTCTCTTGATCTTTGTATATAACCATATATTATTTTCCAAGTCTCATTATATTCTAAATATAGGAAAACTATCATAAATATTTTAACTATCTTTAATGTATTATATAACTAGCAAGAAAGATGGTATGGTATATGTATACATATGCTTATATATGTAGGAATAAATATATACATTTATATATTTATATGCATATGAATAAATATGTGAAGTAGAAATGTCTTACTGATTTCTCTGAATATTTTGAGTAATTTACACTTTTCTCTTTGCTATTATAGGAGTGCATTTTTATCCAAATGTTAGTTATATTCTACTACATATTGTTTATTATACATTTTTATCTCTGATAAAAAGTGTATGACATTCTATAGTTTGTTCTTGGTAACAAGGCTACCTTTAGTTATCACAAGGGGATTATTTTTTCCCTTGATTTGACTTTTAGATTTCTAAACTGATATTATCATAGTTATTTCATGAATCTGTCTTATTTGACTTAGAATGGATAATATTTGAAATGCATGGTGATAATATTTTATATTGTTGTGATTCTGAGCCAGTGGTTTTAATTAGCTCTGTTTTTCATGTTTTATTTAATTTTCCTAGATGAAAATTGAGATTATGATTTAACTACCAAAGGTCACTTAATTCTGATATTACTCAAATTGATAAAATCAGATATTCTTTTTAAAGAAACAAGAGACTTTCTTAATGCTAGACCAACCCCACCCGTACTCCACCCTTGTTTGGTTTATAGTCCTACCAGATGAAAATATTAGCTAATTTCCATGACTGTAGCCATCAGTCAATCACCATACTACATTAATCTCAGATTATATCATCATCTAGGCAGTGGCCCTTTTGGTAAAAATAAGGGAGAAACCTTCTTTTTTTTTTTTTTTTTTCCATCCACCTGCTGCTGCTTTGGGCAATAGTAGATTCATCCTATACTGTGTTTGTTTTGTTTGTCCAGCTCATTTAGGTTCACTGCCCATTTTCTATCTAAGAAAAGAGCTATTAGCCAAAGGACATTGATGTTCCTTCAGAAATTAATATCCCTCTTGGCTGTCCATCCTTCTTTGAAAACTTTAGATTTCCTGTTCTTGGCAGAGGCTCATTGATTTTTAAATTGGTTGGAGAAAGTTTTCTTAGAGTTTAGAACCTTTGAGTTATAAGGGACATTGGGAGTCACAAAGCTCATTTTACTATTCAAGAATAGCAATTTGTTTCAAAATATTCCTCATAGATGATTATTCAGCATCTGATTAAAGTAATAATGTGGCTGCACCAGTCTGCATTCCCACCAGCAGTGCACGAAGGTTCCTTTTTCTCCACATCCTTGCCACCACTTGTCATTTGTTGATGATAGCCATTCTGACAGGTGTGAGATGGTACTTCATTGTGGTTTTATTTGCATCTCTCAAATAATTAGTGACTTTGAAGATGTTTCATATGTCTCTAGACCCGTGGCCAGCAAACTGTGGCTCTCGAGCCACATGTGGCTCTTTGGCCCCTTGAGTGTGGCTCTTCCACAAAATACCACAGCCTGGGTAAGTCTATTTTGAAGAAGTGGCGTTAGAAGAAGTTTAAGTTTAAAAAATTTGGCTCTCCAAAGAAATTTCAATCGTTGTACTGTTGATATTTGGCTCTTTTGACTAATGAGTTTGCCGACCACCACTCTAGACTATACATTTTCTTTCTCATAAAAACACATAGTATGATGGGGAGTGGGGGAAGGTATATAATAGTAGTATAAGCCAGTGGTCAGCATACTACTCATTAGTCAACAGAGCCAAATATCAACAGTACAACGATTGAAATTTCTTTTGAGATCCAAATATTTAAAACTTAAACTTCTTCTAACGCCACTTCTTCAAAATAGACTCGCCCAGACCATGGTATTTTGTAGAAGAGCCACACTCAAGGGGCCAAAGAGCTGCATGTGGCTTGAGAGCCACGGTTTGCCGACCACTGGTATAAGCCAATCACAGTTCACTGAGTTTAACATAATACTTTCAGATAAGATTACCAAAATAAAAATAAAATTAGCTTCTTCGGAATCTTGACTGAATCTACTTTTGAAGTTTTTAGAGTTTAATTTACTTCTCCCAGATATATGTTAAGATTAGAGAGACGTATGCTATTTTTAGCAGTGTCTTATCCAATTAATTAAAACCAACAGAGCCTGTGTTTAATCTTTAGTGTTAGTTAGTGTTGCTTTGTTCTTTGGCTCAGTGTTCCAGCCTGTTGTCAAATTATAAATGTGTGTGGTCTTTAAGCCAAGGGAAATTATAAAGAGTTCCATACCAATATACTATTGCCATAAAAAGTCATGTTACCTTTGTGCTTTACTGATTAGAATAAGGATAAAGTGAATTCCCCTAAGTTGTCCATTTTCTGAATAAGATTTATATTTTTATTTTAGGAATTTAGGTAAACACATTCCCACCCCACCCCCATCTTTTTTTTTTTTTTTTTTTCTTAATGTCTTGGAATACAATTGATGAAGATACCCAGTACTTACTTTTCTATAGATTTTAGATAATAAATTTTTAAAAGTTAATGAATGTTCTTTTTTTTTTTCATTAATACTTTATTATTCTGCCTTTACTGATGAGCAAACTAAAATTTGAGAAGTTAAGTAGCTTGCAGGTCATGCATATAATATGTGGGCAAAGCATGAAAATAACTGCTATTGGATTCTGTAGTTCTGAGATTATAATCTGTAGTAATGATCACTACCTTTCAACATCCATACATCTGTCATTTTAAAGTTCAATTAGTATGATTACCAGAAAAATAGAATATTTGGAAATAAGCAAACCTCTAATTTTTCATTGTGAATATAAATACTTTTTAGTATTTTTTGTTGAAATTGCCTTTTTTAAAGTTGATTTTCTGAGTTATTGCCATTACTGTACCAATTATTTTGGCTCCTTTTTAAAAAGTAAAGATTGAATTAGATGATGATATAATTGTCATTTTTTATAATTAGTACCACATTCTGAGGTTAGTGGTTTGTAATTGAGGTCTGTATATAACTATTGAGATACATCATTGACCAAATAATTGATTTTCAAAGTTCTGTCCTTCTCTCATTCAAGTGGATAGAATATTATCTCTCTTATTTCCATCTAATATCAAAGGCTATTTTGAAATGGTTTTGACTTTCAATTCTTATAATTAGGTAATTACCAACTTTTCAAATTCAGTAATATTTAATGCATCTTTAGGATATTTTATATTTATTTTACATCATTTATGTCTAACTTGGGTTTTAAGAATGTCCAAATATCTGTTTTCCTCAAATTATTCGGATCATGTCCATTTTTTCTTATCATGCAAACAAAAAAGTTACGTTTTTTTAAACAAATAAAGATTATGAGAATTGGTACATATTTAATAAAACAAACCTCACAGAATTTGTTGTTTAATCTGGGAATCCATATTTTTAACTTGTAAACCTCAATCTTTTGTTTTTGAACTTTATATAAAACCAAATAGTTTATGTTTGTGTTTTGTTTTATTCCTCTTTTTTTTCGCTAATGACAATGACAATGAAAGATACTAACCCCAGATTTTAATCCTGAAGGAGTGGGGTATTAAAAATGATCTCATCCTGATTCACATGAAGTGACTGAGCCTCATGGAGTTAAATGATGTATCCAAGATCAGACAGTTGTTAGCAGAGATGAAATGAGAACCCAGTGCTTGGCATGTATCATCTCTGGACTATCGCCTAACAAGTACTGCATGTGATACTTATTATTTTTATCCCAGATAGCAAAACAATAGGATTTACATTTGGAGTTTAGGGATTGGCCAGACACCATTTTGTCTTAAATTACTGTGAATATCATATCATTGGCTGTCCATCATAAGATGCCCTTAAAACTTTGATTTTAAGGTAAATATGATTGGAGTTAGCAATAGATGTTGCTATTAATATAAGTCAATGTTACTTAACTTGCCTACTAGTTATAAGCATGCATGTTTTATGATAGCTATTTTTATTGACCTCTATTCTGTTTTACTTCATGAGCAAAACTTAATGATAAAGAAATTTCATTGTGCAAGGTTTATTTTTTGAAACAT